CACGGCAGTGACAGCTGAGGGGCCAGTGGCCAGCACAGTGCCAGCTCCTGTGCCACAGGCCAGCCCCACACCTGGGGTGGAGGCCACGTCCCCCACAACACCGCCAAGCCCTGTCTCATCTCCACGGGGGGCCACGGGGCCTGCCACACCCTCCACTCCGGAGCAGGTGTGGCCTGAGGCCACAGGTGGCCCTGCTTCCACCGGCCCAACCCCCGGGAGCTCAGGGGACCCTAAGGTGCCAACCACGGACTCGTGCCAGCTCAGCACCCAAGGCCAGTACCTGGCGGTCACCACCAGGGCCCTGCCCCTGTCCCCGGTGAACAGAGGGGCACTGCTGGCCATGCTCCTGCTTGGGGTGGCCTTCCTCTTCGCGGTCTTGGTCCTGTTTGCGCTGCAGGCCTACGAGAACTACAAGAAGAAGGACTACACGCAGGTGGACTACTTGATTAACGGGATGTACGCGGACTCAGAAATCTGAGGTGGCGGAGGCGGCCTTGGGCTCCAGCTGGACCCTCCGGGGGCTGGGCCCTGCCCTCCTTCCATGTTCCCCCTGAGACCCAACCAAGTGCTTCCAAATCCTTTGGTGCAATTCAGGAGCTCCGCCAGATGTTTAAACACATTTAATTACGGTCGGATTAATCCACGGTCACTAAAATGTTGCTTTTTTCATATTTATTTTTGTAAACGATCATGTCGATGGAGCGGGCAGTGATTGGGGCGGGTGGGCCCTGTTGTGTCAGACCCTGGCAGGAATTAAAGCAATGACCGCTTTCCATTCAGAGCTTTCCATTCTGTGGCCCCGCCCACCCACCTCGCCAAGGGGAGCCTTTGCAGATACCAGAGGCCCTGGAGTTTGCTATGCCTGGGCCGCTTCCTTGGGCTTCGCTCTGGTGCCCAGACCTGCCCACACTCAGCAGGAGGGGTCTCTGGTGCCCTGTGGAGACCGCCCTTTCCTCTAATCCCCCTCTCCCTGGACCATTAGGTGGTGAACCGTGTGGAGTTTGATTTGGGCATGAGATCTGCATCCACCCTGTGAACCGCACCTGAGCCACAAGCTCAGCCTGGACCTGCTGAGCCCCCACTCGCAGTGGCCCCGAGTGTGCACTCGCCTCAGGTGGTCATTATTAGCCCCTTGACCCAGGTCACTCTGGAACCTGGGGAGCCCCAGGCCCCAGTGAGTGCAGGGCCCGCTCCCCTCGGCGGGACAATTGCCCTGGGTTTCTGGCTCCTGCTTCCCAACACCAGTGGCCCTCAGAGCCACACTTGTGTCCTTGCCGTGTACCGGCTACTGTCCTGCTTGATGCAGGGAACGCACTGCGCTCCCCCTGAACCCGGGGAGGATCAGCTTCCCTCCCCATTTTCTTTTCTTTTTTTAAATATATTTTTATCGATTTCAGAGAGGAAGGGGGGGAGAGAGAGAGAGAGAAACATCAATGATGAGAATCATTGATTGGTTGCCTCCTGCATGCCCCCTACTGGGGATTGAGCCTGTAACCCGGGCATGTGCCCTTGACTGGAATCAAACCTGGAACCCTTCTGTCCACTGACCAATGCTCTATCCACTGAGCCAAACCGGCTAGGGCTTCCCTCCCCGTTTTAAAACGTGCCCGCTGTGGCACAGAGGAGACAACCCACGCTGGGGCCGCAGTCAGGGTAAGCCCGGCTCTCTAACTAGAGCTGACCCTTGAGCAACGCCGAGGGCTGAAGGCACCAGGCAATCCCCAGGTAACCGCACTTGGCTCTCCGCACGCAGATTCCCAGGGCGAGTGCGCTCTCGGACCACACGGCTCCATCGAAGCCATCGCGTGTGAGTGAGTGGGCCTTCCCCTGCCCACGGCAGCGGGAGCTGACGGGCAGCATGCAAGGCTGGGTACCCAGGCCGGGTCTGCAGCCGCTGCCACCCGCTCCGAGCAAGCGTGGAATGTGCTGGAGCTTGGCGGCTTCGCCTGTGAAGTGGGGAAACGGCATAGCATCCGTCATGGACCTGGGGCGGGGGAGGGGCGGCCACTCCTGCTTCTCTACCCAGAAGCCTGAGGAAGAGACGGATTTCGTCTGACCCCAGGTCCCCATCACAGAGGTCTCCGGAGCCAGGCCTGGGTAACAGCTCCTCTCATTTAAGTTCTTCCTCCTCCAAAAAGGGATTTCAAATGACCCGTGATAAAGACCAGGATAGTAACTCCCAGATCGGTTGAGATGACGTAAGAGCCAGGGATGGAGAGGACGCAGGGTGGGGAGACGGGGTCAGAACTTCCACGCCGCCCTCTCCAGTCCTTAGCCCGTCTTTCCTCACTGGTTGGTCCACAGGCCCAGGGGCCCCTTCCCACCTCAGGCCTCCGCTGACTGAGCCGACTGTGAACAGCCGCTGAGCCCAACCAGCCTGGGCCCTCCTGCTCTCCCTTCCCTGTGACACACCTGAGCCCTCCTGCTCTCCCTCCCCATCACACACCTGAGCCCCCCTGCCTCTCCCTCCCCATCACACACCTGAGCCCCCCTGCCTCTCCCTCC